TCCTTTGATCTCCACGACCTTTCAAAGGTGATAGAGAGTGGCCTCAATATGACATCAGTCAGCTCTCTCAACGCTCTTCGGTGCAGCCCTTGGGGTCCCACAGGTGTGTTCAGGAACAGCAGGCTCAGTCAGGAAAAACGTTCTGAATTCCGAGGCACGGAGGAAAGTACCAAGATGTTTGTAAGAGAAGTGATCTGATTAAAACATGGATGGATATTTCTTTTTGTCTTTGCTAGTGTGTCGCTTTCATGCAATTAAGTGAGAATCTAACTCGTTCTTGGGTTCATATCTATTAGAGCTGCATCTCAGATTCCAGTTTTATTCTTAAGGATGAAAAGAGCAGTGACTGTAGGTCAAGCTGAATTCCTGTTGGTGAGTGATTCTGGGTATCATCTCTGGCCAAAACAGGATCCCGTTGCCACCTCACGCTCTATGTGGATTCCATCTGCTTTGCTCCTATTACTGGGCCATCCCAGTCCATTCAAATATTCACCCCTTTATCCTTTTTAGTACAGGATTTGTCTTCACCCCCACTCCCAACGAGTAGCATGTTTTGCTCCCGTTCCACGGGTCTGGGAATTCATTGTTTGCGGGCTGGCGAGGCACCAGTGCCGGGGTGACCCGTGGGGCAGACTGTGAACCAGGCAGTTGCCTCCCAGCCTGAATATTTTAATAAGCACGGAGAGGTGACAGAGAGAGAAGCTTCTCCCTGGAATGACTGGCAGTTTTGTTTCCAGCCTGAAAGCACTAATAGATGATTTCTGGCCTCAGTCCAAAAAAAAAAAAACCACAGAAACTAGAAGCAGAAAATCTCATTAGCTCCTAACTTCTCTCTCTTTTTTAAGGGTCAAAGAAGTTTTTTCTGTCTGGTCTATTATCCAGATAGGGAGTTGTTTCCCTCTTTTTGGTATTTCAGTTCTCTCTTAGGGATGCTATACTTGGGGAGTCTTGCCTTTTATTTATCTTTTGTTTTTCTCTTTTTTTTTAATTTCATTCTTTTTCTCGATTGTCTTCCCTCCTTCCCTAAACATTCCCTCTTCTACTTTCTTTACGCTCTCGTGGACTCATGGTGAAGTCTGTCTGAATAATGGGCTCTACCAACTTCTCTGGCTTCCAGCTTCCACATACTACAGAACACTAACACAGTGCCAGGCGATGGCATCTGCATGGGAGTCTCCAGAGCGTATGTCCTCGTGCCCCTGCCCTTCAGCTGTGTCTCAGTTGTATAACACAGGGGCTGTGTAGGGCTTTGTCCTCGGTCTTGTGAATAAAAGCACTACAAAAGGGAGTTCTGGCAAAGCCCCAGCAAGCTCGGAGGTGCCTCTGCATGGGAAGCAACAAACACAGTGTTTTGCAGACAAGCTGCAGGATAGCCAGGCTTTCAAAGGAGAAGACTCTCTTTCTTTCTGCAAGCACAGCGAAAAAAGGTCCAGCTTTCGCTAGGAAAATGTCAAAATGGTGCTGAGAGCTGAACTGAGGTGTGGTCCCATACACTGTTCAGAGAATGCACTGGAAACTTCTCAGTGTTTGGACATAGACCTTCATGTCTATTTAGCAAGATTCAGGTCTGGGTTTCAACTGGAGTATGAGCTGGAAATGAATGGGATTCCTGCTAAAATATGCTTCTTTTTCCTTTCAGACACAATGATGACACCGAAGGTTCAGATCCTCTTTGGCTTCCTTTGCTGCACAATTTTCCTGCCTACAGATGGCTTCCCAGCAGACACCAGTACTGAATATCGCTCGGCTTTTTCTGTGGCCAGAACCAGCAGCATGGAAGGGAGCTCTGAGATGGTCATTACCTTTGACAAAGTCTATGTGAACATTGGCAATGACTTTGATCCCAAGACTGGCTTGTTCCGCTGTCGGATCCCTGGAGCCTACTACTTCTCCTTCACCGTTGGGAAATACCCAAAGAAAAACTTGTCTGTCATGCTGATGAGAAACAAGAACGAGGTGCAGGTGATTGTGTATGACGAACATCACCGCAAGGAGCGGAAGGTGGCCAGCCAGAGTGCCATGCTGCAGCTTGACTACGGTGACACAGTCTGGCTGCGTTTACACGGAGATCCCAAGTATGCTCTTTACAGCAACGTGGGCCCCTACACAACTTTCAACGGCTACCTAATCTATCCAGACACCTCTGCCTTCTTCCAGAATGCTCTTAGCTCTCAAGAGCTGGGGCCGCACCATCACACTGTTCAGCAGCTTCCTGGAGAGCAGAATGAAGCTTCGCAGCGACACGTGTTATCCGATCAGCCGGACAGGGAACAAGACCCTCGCTCTGCGTTTTCCGTTGCCCGCTCCCAAAGTCTCCTGGGGACAGATGAGAAGCAAACCCAGCATGAGCCAATCACGTTTGACACCGAGTTTGTGAACATCGGGAAAGATTTCAATTCCTCCACTGGCATCTTCTCGTGCCGTATACCCGGTGCATACTATTTCTCCTTCACCATTGGCAAAATGCCTTTTAAGACTATGTCAGTGAAACTCATGAAGAACCATAACGAGGTGCAGGCCATGATCTATGATGACAACCACTCCAAGAGGCGGGAGATGCAGAGCCAGAGTATCATGCTGCCTCTGCAATACGGGGACACCGTTTGGCTCTACAGCCATCAGCACGATGGCTATGGTGCCTACAGCAACCACGGCAAGTACATCACCTTCACCGGCTTCCTCATCTATTCAGAGGCTCAGTCAACGGGGATTCCAGGCGCCGGCTCACCCCGAGGGTCAAATAATTAAAGGCAGATGTGAAAGGAGCGCAAGAAAAGCCAAGGTGCCATGAACTTGGGTACAGCTCCCCTTCAAATGTCATCATCTACTTTGAGCATGCTGTCATGTGTCCGGTGCTTTCCTGACGCTGCACGCTTGTGCCTGTCTGCAGGGCCGCTGCTGGATCTGCCATTCATCCGTGGAAAGGTCTTTGCAGGTTGTGTGTGTGTGTCCTGTGTTGGTGTTTGATTCAAGCATAAAGCATGAGGTAGTTTTGGGGCAGGGGTGGGGCGGTGTAGTGAGATGCTGAGGATCAGAGAGCCGCTGCCGTCATGTTGCTGCAGATCCCCAGCATCTAGAAAGCGAAGGATGTGCTTACTTTCCTTGCGTATCCGGGGAGGGAATCAATGTAATGAGAAATGAATTTAATAAAAATACATAAGATGTAAATTTTTTTCAGATTGGAATTTGTTGTTACTTGTGAGACTGGTGTGCTTGCCACCAGCTGAGGTACCAGTTCAGGAGAGAAAGAAGCACAGTGATCGTACGAGCTGCAGTACGTGTTGCCAAGCCAGTCTCCACGGGATCTCTGCTCCATCAGTAACCTCCACGGGCTCCAGCACAACCTCCTCCCGCACCATCTTCACTGACCTGGTGTCTGGGTGGGCATTTCTCTCAGGTCTCAGGCCTCTCTCTGCCGCAGCCGTGCCAGGCAGCTCCCCCACCTCCTCCCTCTCTCCAGTGTAGGTCCAGCCCCGGTTCGGGCTCCTTTGTCCCCATCTTAAATATCCTAGACATCAAAGTCTGGGGGCATATTTGGGAAAAGGGTGAAGAGTAGAAACTGGAGGTATGTAAAAACCAGCATAAGAACAGAAGAACATTAGGTGAGACACCAGCTTACTAAAACTTATACTTCAAATAAAATGCTAATCTTAATTCCTACATCCTTTGGGAGAAAAAACTACAACAACAGAACAAAACAAACCTAAGCAACAACCAACCTGCTTTATGAGCTGTGTACATCTATCTTCCCCTGTCGTAGACCTAACCTGACCTCTAAAACCATTCTCTGTGGCACCTTGCTTCTAGGCTTCTTATCTCTGCCTCACCATTTCTCCTCTCCATCTGTTGGGTGACAACAGCTTGGGAAAAGATTAACTAGGTCGAAAGCTATCAGTTCCCACTTTGAATGTCACACACGCCTCCTTCCTTGAGCATGAAAACTTCAGAGTATACTGATAGAAAGAGAATTATGGATCCCATCATCTAAGCAGATGCAATGAACGTTCAAAATTAATGTGCTTGTAATGGAAACAGCAAACCTAGTAGAAACTAAAAAAAAAAAAAAAAATCAAAACCCTCTTGAGTAGATAATTCCATTTATTTAATTCCACACTGCAATGTGTAAGACAGAGAAAGGTTAATAATCTTTTTCTATATAATAATCATCTTTCTGATTTTGAGGATAGAGATTGTGTATTTGTTATGTTTGGCTTGTAAAGCGCCATAGTCGTACAAAAAAAAACTTCATAGAAGAGGAAAAATGTGCTGCAGAAATAACTAGGTCACAATCCTTAGGAATTTAAATGAGATTTAAGGAAGTATATTCCAACCGGTAAGTGACACAAAGCAGTGTGCGTGTGTGTACGTATGATGTGCAAACACCAGAAAGCTTAATGGAATACATTCGTTTGGAGGTTGCTTTTCAAACAAAAATGAACATGAGATGAGAAATTACTACAGACACATAAAATGTGATGCCACATGAGCAGAAAGCTGAAATTAAATATACGACCTATATGGTGAAACACAACAAAACCTGCTTAGCTGGTTATTGGAAGGGAGAAAAGATGCTGTATGTGGCTGAAGCCACAGGGGGGATGTAAGGAGGCTGAACTGAATTTTCTGAAATGAAGGCAGCTAGGACATGTGGGTAACATCCTGGGAAAACACTGCCAGGGCATCTCCCCAGTAAGCAGTGATGATCAAGATAGATAACACATCTGAATAGCACTGCCACCTTCAACACAGCCCACTCGGAGCGAAAAACAAACA